ATCAGTAGAATACAAAAAAATCAACAGGATACAAAATCAATACACAAAAATCAGTAGAAATCAAGAAAACCATCCCTTTATAATTGAAACAAAAAAAAATCAAATACTTTGGAATAAACCTAACAAAAGAGGTGAGAAGACGTATACAAAGAAAATTATAAAACACTGTTAAAATAAATTGAAGCAGATATAAAGAAATGGAAAGACATCCCCTGCGCATGGATTGGAAGAATTAACATTATTAAAATGGCCATCCTCCCAAAAGCTATATACAGATTCACTACTATTCCAATAAAAATCTCAGTGACATTCTTCAAAGAAAAAGAACAAATACTGAACCACAAATACTGGAACCACAAAAAACCATGAATAGCCAAAGCCCTACTGATGAAAACAAAGGAGAAAGGAGGTATCACACTTCCAAACTTCAAGCTATCCTACAAAACCATAATAATTAAAACAGTTTGATATTGGAACAAAACAGACACACAGACTAATGAAATCAAATAGAGAGCCCAGAAATAAAGCCACATTTATATGGACAACTAATCTTCAACAAAGGAGCAATGAATATGCAATGGAACACGGACAGTTTGTTCGATAAATGGTGCTGGGAAAACTGGACCTCTACATGCAAAAAAATGAAACTGGACCACTAACTTTCACCGTGCACCAAAATAAACTCAAAATGGATAAAAGAACTGGACATAAGACCTGAAACCATAAAATATATAGAAGAAAATACAGGTAAAACACTTCAAGACATACATCTCAGAAACATCTTTAAAGACTCATCACCCAAAGCAGTGATAGTGAAGGCAACGATAAACACCTGGGATTACATCAAACTGAAAAGCTTCTGTACAGCCAAAGAGACATTAACCAAAACAGAGAGACGCCCCCCTGATTGGGAAGAAATCTTTGCACTCCATCCAGCTGATATGGGACTGATCACAAGATATACAAAGAACTCAGAAGGCTCAACAAAAACAAGACAAACAATCCAGTCAAGAAATGGGCAGAACTTAAAAGATGTTTCTCCAAAGAGGAAATTCAAATGGCCAACAGGCATATGAAAAAATGTTTAACATCCTTTGTAATCAGGGAAATGCAAATCAAAAGCACACTGAGATACCACCTTACACCAATAAGAATGGCACATATCAAAAAAACAAGCAATAACAAATGTTGGTGAGGATGTGGTGAAAAACTCTCCCATATTGCTGGTGGGAGCGCAAACTGGTCTAATCACTATGGAAAGCTATCTGGAGGTTCCTCAGTCTAATAAAAATGAAACTACCATATGACCTGGCAAGTCCACTCCCAGGGATCTATCCAAAGGACACAAAAACATTGATTCAAAAGAACACCTCTACCCCTATGTTTGTTACAGCACTATTTACAATAGGTAAAACTTGGAAACAACCCAAATGCCCAAAATAGAACACTGGCTCAAAAAGATGTGGTATATGTACAAAATGGAATATTATTGAGCAATCAAGAAGGATAACCTCATGCCATTCGCAGCAATGTGGATGGAGCTAGAAGGAATTATGCTCAGTGAAATAAGCCAGAAGGAAAAAGAAAAATATCAGATGGTTTCACTTATAACAGGAATATAAGGGAACCAAATAAGACATCAGTGTGAAAAGCTATAATAACAGTACAAAACACAACAAAGGAAAACCAGATAATTATAAATCAGAGACATACTACAGGGGAGGAGGAGGGAGAGGGATCATAGGGAGGGAGGAAAGAGAACAGGAGACTGTGGTGATGGCGCACCGGTGCCTTGGGGAAGGAAATTCTATGGGAATTAAACCTGAGGGGGTGAGGGGAAGCAAATATTGTTTAAAAATGATCAATAATGTAAAAAGAAAATAACATTAAAAATGAATAAAAAACAATAAATAAACAAACAAACAAATAAATAAATAAAATATTCAGTATCCCTTTGAGAAGGTCCAAGCTTCTTTTAGAAGTTTCTTTCCAGAGCTGTCTGGCTAGACAGACTGAATGTCATTGTAATGAAAGTTGGGACTTGCTGAGTGTATAAATAGTCACTGCTATTACTCTAAATATTTAGTGTGAGAAAGAAAGACAGAAGGAAAACTTTGTTAGCTCAGGAATTTTTGGAAAATATCAGAGATACTAATCAGAGGCCCTTTGTTTCTGAAATATTTTGAAAATAAGTGAAGATACTGTATATTTTTTGCCCAGGTTCATACATTTCTTAAGATTGCAAGTTCATGTCATGTCTGACAACAAAGCTACAGGAAGAGCGCCACCTGGACTGATGGATGGTAGTGCTGGGAGGGCTCCACTTATTCGGTGGGTGCCTGTAGGTGGGTGCCATGTTGTTATGGGACTGGCACATGGAGCCAGTTGGTCTGTGTTTCAGGGTGTGGGTAGCACTGGCTGTGGGTTCTAGATGGGTCATTGTAAACAACTAGATGTTTATTCTCAGCACCCATTCCCAAGTCAACAGATTGCTGACTGAGGCTATTGAGGAGATACTGCATCTGAATAACTTTCCACTTTATCAAATTATCTTTCTTTTATTGACTAGAAATTCAGTATTTTTTTAAAAGATTTATTTATGCGTACAAGAGCTGCGGTATAGGCCAGAGGTGTGGAGGCTGAGCGGATTCACCAGAGACAGAGTGGGAAACAGAACAGTAAGATTGACTGAAGTACACTACTGAGGGGAACAGCAGATGAGGCAGGAGAGGTCTGTTGCACCATGTGGGTTGTTCCCTGGCTGGCTGGAAATCAAACTTGTGCTGCAGAGGCTGTGGATTGCTTCATAGGTTGTGTATTAACCCCTTGCTCCACCAGGGAGGCCCCTCAGTATATGTTTTTTAAAACAGTAGACAAAATGGTTTATAGTGATTAAATTGTCATTTTTTTTTCTAATTCTAGGTCGGTTTATTGTGCCCATTATAAAAAGCAAACCTCCCAAGAGTGTGTTGTAAATTTGAAGTCATGTGCATGAAAGGTGCATTTGGAAGCAGTCCTGACACATTTGAGTCAGAATCTAGCAGGTTAGGTTCTCTGGAAGAGAGGTGAAACCTCACAGAATAAAAGGACTAAAGTGATCTGTGTGTATATGCTATTATTATGATGACCCCAAGTCTGTTTCCTATCTACTGGCTCATTGTCATTTCAAAGACCCTCATACTTGTTTGGCTATTCACCTTTTTTTTTTTAAACTTGCGGTCAACTTAGTTCTTAGAATTCAGAGCTGTTCCACTCAACATAATCAGTATGATACTTTTCAGACACAATCTTCTTGAGAGGGTAGAAGCAGGTACCCTTAATAAATGCACCTATAAATGCATGTACAGGTATGGTTAGATTGGCCAGTCAAATATGTTAACCTCTAACAAAAACAATCACTTATTCTGACAACAAATAGGGTTTATTTGGAAACAAAACAACAGGAGGGAGGGCAGATTGGAGAGTGTGTTCATGGTGATACCTGTGTGCACTTCCCTAGGTCCTAGACTGACAACCCTCTCAATAACCCTGGAACCTCCTCCCTGCTCAGTTCTGCTGCAGGGGATAGTGTTAATAGTGTCATGTCTTATGGGAGAAGCAAAGAGCTTGCTGATTTAAGCCTATGTGGACACTCTCAACCTCACTTAAATAGGGTTCAGAATATTAATGTTTATATATGTCACGTAACTCCCCTTTTGACCCTGAAAAGATAAGCATGTCCTCTAAACAGTCGAAGGTTTTACATTTTGGAGATGGTTAATGTATTTGGCATCTGGTAGAATTGTTGGGTCTGTCATAGTTAATGACAGCTAGTATGTTTTCACAGTTACTATATGTTGGGCCCTAAAACTTCAATGCATCAGCTCTTTAATACTCATCAAAGCCCTTGAGGGAGATACTGTTTTCATAGCCATATGGAGCAGGGGAATCTGAGGCTCAGTGAGTTCAGGGACTGCCCAGACAGTGTACGGTCAGCAGGGTGGTGTCAGGAGATAGCCAGTTCCTTGCCAGTGGGTATAGCCAGACCTTCTGCAATGGTTTTCTGAGTTTAAGGTTTATGACCGCTTCCATGTCAGATAAGAGATTTTATTTCACTGATGAATCATCAAGAAAAGTTTGTGTATGAGAACTTCATTGAAGGATCTGTTCTCTGTGCAAGAATACCCTTGGGGCAGGTAGCTGAACACGCAGGCCATCAACAGTGATTCAGACCCTCAGGGATTAACCCTTGCTCTGTGACATTCTCCATAAGAAGTCTCTGTAAGTGTTTCATGCAGACACGTAAGGGTTCTGTGGCATCACCATGAGATATGTTAAAATTCTCAGGGAGGTGGACGTTTCTACTCCTGTACCTCAAAGGAGTTAGGGCCAGGAAACACAGGGAGTTTACTAAAAAGTTAACTTAGCAGAATAAGACTTTGTCCTAGTCTCCGCTTTCAACTCTATTTAGCCTTGAACCTTCCTTTAAAAAGTGAGTCGGATAACCAAATCAAAGGAAATAACCAGGATTCAAACTCCAGGCCAGCCTGCCTCTGTCCACCTCCTGTGGAGCACACTTGCTCCATGTTCTGTGCCCAGGGGAACAGTGCCTCTGACCATAGGCTGGTACTTGGTGTGAAATGGAGGAAGCTGTGGACTTTGTGTATCAAAGCATACATTATTGGTAATCTTGGCTTTGCCAGAGGGAAGGTCTGAGCTTTCGTGCCCCTTACCTGCCTTGGGCCACTTGCTTTCATGATGGAGGAGACTTACAGGCTGTGAACTGGGAACCCAGGTGACTTCTCTTTGCTCCTCTGTTCTCTGTGGACATTTGTCCTTGTAGTCAGTTGACCTCACAACTAGAAAACTAGACTTTTTATCTTTTCTTTAAAAACTTCTAAATTACCTCCTTGCAAAAGATTTTTGTATGTCTGTTTTAAAATTTTTAGTACTGGCTGTAGAGCATAGTTCATGTTTGTATACGTTCAGTGAGTTTAGTGATGGCTTCTTCAATTTTTCAGCTTGGGAGTTGGGCACTGAGAATGCTGAGCTGGAGTGGGGACCTGCAGCCCCTTGATCAGCGACCTGTTTTCATCTTGGTTCTCCTGGTCAAACCATCTGGCTGCCTGAGCAAGCCCCTTGCAGGTAAGGTCTGTTGGGTTTTCACCAGTAGGTAGTGTCTTCTCAGGCAGGAGACTCATCTGTTAAGTACTGATTAAGGTAAGGTTAATACATGCTTGCCATTGCAAACAGAGGCATAACAATAGAGCCTTTATGCCTGTGTTTGTGCATGGAATCCCACCTGCTCTGGAGTCCACATTTCTTCCTCATTCTTTACTCATTGACTTGAGGTATGTAGGGACAAAGACTGAGGCTGGCCTTAATCTGGGTTCTGCATACCACTCTACATGTGGACTATCCCCCTTTGTTTTCTGTAAATTGTGGTGACATTGCCAGCCTCCTGAGTTACTCTGAGAATAGCATAGTAAGCCTCAAAAATTGGCAGCTATTATTTTGGGAGATGGGCCAAAACAGAGTTGGGGTGGTGGGTCTTAACTTGGGCTTTGCTTTCTAATGTGTGTGTCAGTCTCTTCATGGTAGCACTGAGATTGGGGTGCAAATAGGTAACAAAGGTCCAGGGCAGGTGTTGTTTCTTCCTCCATTTAGCGTTTCATCTAAAGTGAACCTGGCTAGAGATGGACCTTCTCTCATTCTAGTTGACCCTTAGTGTGGGACTCTTACCAGGCTATCTGGAGACATAAGGCCCGCATGTTGTTCCAGTACATGTGCCTTCAGGAGCCATTGCCCCTAGGGAGGGTGATGGGTCTTGGAGAGTGTTTAGGTCCCTTTGGCTATATACCAAAGCAGCACAGAATGGGCGACTAGAATAGCAAACATGGATTTCCTCATAGTTCTAGAGAACAGAAGCCTGAGATCAAGGTGTCAGCAGGGATGTTACTTCTGAGGCTTCTCTCCATGGTGTCTGGTTGGCCTTCCTTTTCCTGTGTCCTCAGATAATTCTGTGTGTCTGTGTTCCCATCTTCTCTTCTTAAAATGACACCAGTTGTATGGATTAGGGCCTGCCCTAATACCTCATTGTAACTTCCTATCTCTTTAAATACCATCTCTCCAAGTACTCATGTGCTGAGGTCCTGGGGGTTAGGACTTTAGCATGGAAATATTTGAATTTACCTCTAGTAGAACAGGCACCCAGGCTAATGGGTCAAATGGACTCAAGGTTTGGAATACCCCATCTTTATAATGTAGGTACTAGGCTCTCCCATCTTGCTGCCTCCTTTTCTGTCTTTCTTTTCTTTCTCCTTGCATTATCTTTAACTCTCATAGCTTTTCTTTAACCATCTAAAAGTACAGCAGATAGATTCTCATCTTTGTTTTAATTAAGTTCGTTTAGCACATGTTTCCCAGGAGTCAGCCTTATTTAGATGCTGAATAACAGTTTAGATATCCTGTTTTAAATTCAAATAGTGTACATGTGGAAGTTTGGGGGCTTCTTTGTAGATAGTTAATATTAAAGTTGTTTTTTTTTTCTCTTGGAGTCTGTTGCCCTTTCTAGAGAGATTGTTCCCACTCAGAATTAGGAGTACCTGCAGCTTCTCCTACTGTTGCTCTAGTCCTGCTCAGCAATGCTCACTTCCCTTTGAACAGTAGCCACCTCAGCCTCTCATCACCCTCCAGGGGCACAGACCCTGCAGTCAGGACAGATTGTTTTTTTGGCACACAGGGCACTTTATACTCTTTCTCACAGCTGAGATGAAGGAAGGTAAGAAAATGTTGACTTTTCACAGAAACTGAGAAAAGTCTCATAAGAGAAGGAGTAATAGTGAAAATAAATTCTTTTCTTTTTATAATTTTATTTTTTAAGATTTATTTGTGCATGCAAGAGCTGGGGTACAGGCCAGAGATGCGGGGTGGGGGACATGAGAGGATTCACCAGAGACAGAGTGGGGAACAGAACAGGCAGACTGACTGAAATACACTGCTGAAATACACAGGAGAGGTCTGCCTCGCCATGTGGGTTGCTCGCTGGCCGGCCGGGGATCAAACTCATGCTGCAGAGGCTGTGTATTGCTCCATAGTGTGGTACTTAACCCCTTGTGCCATCAGGGAGGCCCAAAAGTAAACTCTTCATGGCTGATTATAGCCCACCCCTTCAGTGTTTGAGACCAGAGCACAAGTGCCTGGTCGTAAGGTGCTTTATCTTGCCTCTACTTTTTTGCTTAGTGTGGACAGTATCGTGTCAAAAACATCAGATAGGTGTGCGTGCTGGAGGAAGATGCCCAGCACGCAGGTCTGGGCTCCTGTGAATACCTTTCCCTGTCAGTCCCAGTGTGCATCCTCCCCAAGGCTGTGCTGACATCATTGGGCACTGGTGGGGCTTTTGGCATCTTTGATAAGCCCCTGTTTGAAAGAGAGTAAGTTTGACCCAAAGTTGGATTCTGCGAACTCAAATATGTTATATAATGTATTGATTGAAACCCTTAGTGGCTTAGTCTTACATTCCTTTTGTTTTACTCACTGCAAGTTCCTAGCAGGCACTTATTATAGGGGTTGACTTGGGATAGAGCATTGCAACTCCAACCTTGTACCCACTACAGCAGCCCCTCTATGTGCTCAGCCCTTGGTGGTACACTTTTCACCTGTCGCCACAAGAGACCTGCTTGCTTCCAAGTTGTGTGGTCTGGTTGGACTTTTATTTTCAGCAGGAGGGCACCTCTCGTTGACCTGCTTACCCTTGAGATACAATCAGTTGTTACCCTTACAGTTTTTTTTTAACTTAGCCAGAAAGAGCTTTGCTAAGGGTGGAACCCACATCTCTGCTCAATTGCATTTGACTAGCTGTTCTTTTCCAGTTACAGAAGTTGAAATCCATGTATCTCAGATTCTAAGAATGGTATGAGTTCTACCTTCCTTTCTCCCAGGTTGGAACACTACAATTGTGCATGCAACCATTTCAATCCTCAAGGTCAGCTTGCCAGGGACAGGCTTTTAAGACATTTTTATATGCTTTGGTGCTATATTTTCTTTTCTTCCTCAGCATCCTCTCTTTAGTTTATATAACAGGACACTCCCCTGATTCTTCTATTTAATCCCTCCCCTTCTGCTTACTTCCCTCCGTCATTTCCTCCTATTCACTGTGTCTCTGCTGTCTACTCAATACTAAATGCATCCTCACATTCTTTTGGTAGACTTTCTGCATTCTTCTGTAGAGTGCCATATTGCTTTACTTTTGCCACATTTTGGGAACTTAACCCAGCATGCCCCGCTATGGTGATGTCACATGTACTTCTCTTTCTCACCATTTTGTCCCTGAGTTGCTGGTGAGATTCCTTACATATGGCAGGATCTCAGTAAATGTCTGATTGCATTTTTCACTATGTTTGGTCTTAGCACATTATGCATTAATGTGAAGAATCTGAAAATCACTCATCTAAGGTAGAACAAAAAAAAAAATAATCACCCTTCTGTGAGTCACTTAGAGATGCAGTTCTTAAGCCCTCATTGTTTCAAGATTTTAGATGAGGGCCTCCCTGGTGGCCTAGGTTAAGTCTCAGCGCTTACCACTTTTACAGCCTGAGTTCCATCCCCACCAGGGAGCTAACCTACATGGCACAGCAGACCTCTCCTGTCTCGTTCACTGCTCTCCTCAGCAAATGTATTTCAGTAGATCTGCCTGTTTTGCTCCCCTCTCTCTCCAGTGAAATCTCTCAACCACTGTGCCTCTGGCCTACACCCTGGTTCTTCTATACAAAATAAATAAAACAAATTTAAAAAAAAACCCTTAAAAGAGTAATTCTTGAAAAGAGTTTTGATGATTCTCAAAGCAATTTTATGATTCTGCGCTAGCCTTCTTGTCAGATAATTTTGACCCAAGTCGATAATGATTCATGTTGTGAGTGCCCTTTTTGACATAACAGGTGATTTTTTCTAGACATCTTTGGTTTATGTTATGGGACTGAATCCTGCTTAATCTTCTTAGCAGATCATTTCCGAGTGAGATGCAGCTAAGGGTTCATATGGAATGGAGTGCCTTGTTGCAGTCAGTTGGGGTACAAGTTCAGCTTCTCCCTGATCCCAAAGTGCTCTGTAGGCAAATGTAATTAGTTGAGTCTCCCTGGTTGCGTAGAAGTTAAATCTCAGTGCTGTCACTGCTAAGGCCAGAGTTCATTCCCTAGCCAGGGAGCTAACCCACATTGCAAAGCAGACCTCTCCTGTCTCACCCGCTCTTCTCCTCAGCAGTGCATTTTAGTTGATCTGCCTGTTTTGCATCTCAGTCTGTCTCTGGTGAATCCTCTCACCCCCCTCATCTCTGGCTTATACCCTAGTTCTTCTATATATAATAAATCTTTAAAAAAAATGTAGTTCGCATGTTATTTAAGATAAGTTGTAAGAATCTAATCAGCAGCCTGAGCCCAGGCACAGCCTTGCTGTGATGATGCCCCTAGTGTCACGGAATGTGGTGGGGTGATGCCTGGTTTTATACCCACAGATGGTGGGGCAGGCTGCAGGGAAGTAGAAACAATGCAGAAAGAGCATGCTGTATGGAAAGAGGGGGTACAGAGATCAGATGATAAAAATACAAGTGGCAAAGACAAAAGCTACTGTGTATTGTATTCAAATGTCTGCAGTGCTTTTGTGATTCTTGTTGTCAGTGGTTTGACTCATTTAATCTTCGCATCAGCTCTCTAAATAGATATAATCTCTACTTACATCAAAGATGAGTACACCAAGGCACAAAGAAGTTAGGATACAGCTTATCCTCATTATATGCTGATCCCATATTTTGAAAATATCTACTTTCAAAAAATTTATTTGTAATCCCCAAATCAATACCTGTGACATTTTTTGTGGTCCTTTATGGACATGAATTGAATGGTAGAAAATTTGAGTTTATGATGAGTATGTTCCCAGATGAGGCTGAATAAGGTGATGCTCTTCCTTTTTGTTTCAGCTCTTGAAATGTAAATACGTGTCCTTTTTGCTGTCTGTTTGGGCCAGTGTTTTTCACATTTTCATGCTTTTTGTAGGTGATTTTGCTGTTTGAATAGCCCCAAAGCATATACAAGAAGGCTTACTATGTCTTACAGAGAAACTGCATGTGTTAGGTAAGCTTCGCTGGGACATGACTTACAGTGCTGTTAACCTGGATTTCAGTGTTAATGAATCAACAACCAATATTAAGTAAGAGTTTTTAGTATATGTGCTGCCGAAGCGAGCACGAAGTAAGAGTTTTTAAACAGAAACATGTGAAATAATTTATATTTTTAGATTAAAAAACAATTTTTTAATGAAGTGTCATTGTTTTGCATCCTTGTTACTTTTATTTATTTATTTATTTTGACAGCACGGAATTTTTCCTATGGGTGTGGACACTATATGTCTCTCACCTCAGAACGTACCCATAGCCCTCCACCATAGTCCCTTGTGTTCTCCCCCGCCCCTCATGGTTGTTACTCTTCCCCATTTACTCCTTACCCTTCCTGGATGCCTCAGATCTATAGTCAGCTTTCCAGGGTTGGTTGTAAAATTTATTGTTTTCTGACCTTGGTTTGGTTTCTCTATATTACTCATGTAAGTGACAACATCTGGTATTTACCTTTCCCCTTCTGGCTTATTTTGCTTAGCATAGTTCTTTCCAGCTCCATCCATGTTGCTACAAATGGCATGAGTTTATCTTTTTAATTTTGAGTAGTACTTCATTGTGTATCTATACCACGTGTTCTTGATCCACTCGTCTGTTGGGGGACACTTAAGTTTTCATAGATTGACTATTGTGAATAGTGCTGCAGTAAACATTGGGATGTAGGTTTCCTTTAAAATTTTTGTGTTCTGGGCCTCCCCTGCTGGCGCAGCGGTTGAGCACTGGTCTGCAAAGCTGCCTGCAGCCTCTGCAGCGCAGGTTCAATCCCCAGAGAGGGTCCCACATGGCGCTATGGACCACTCCTGCCGGCGCCCGCTGCTCCCCTGAGCAGTGTATTTCTTCGTCAGCCTGCCTCTTCTGTTCCCCGCTCTGGCTCTTGTGAATTCTCTCACCCTCCCGTGCTTCTGACTGTACCCAGTGCTTGTGTAAATAAATAAATAAATCTTTAAAAAAATTTTTTTTTTGTGTTCTTTGAGTGGATACCTAGAATTGTTGGGTTATGTGACAGATTCAGTCTTAGTCTTTAGAGGAACCACCAAATTGACCTTCCATATTGGCTAGACCAGTCCATTCCCTCCAACAGTATAAGAGGACTCCTGTTTCTTCACACCCTCACCAGCAATTAGTGTTTTTGTTTTTGAATTCACACCATTCTCACTGGTGTGAAGTAGCATCTCCTTGTGGTTTTGTTTTGCATTTCCCTGATGATTAGTGATGCTGGACATTTTTTCATATGTCTGTTGGTCATTTGCATGTCTTTGGAGAGGTGACAATTTAGCTGCTCTGTCAATTTTTTGATTGGGTTGTTTTGTTTTTGTTGAGTTGTATGAGCTCTTTGCGACTTTTTGATAACAGTCTTGTCAGATATATGATGTATAAATATTTTCTCGAATTCAATAGGGCATCTCTGTTTCGGTTACTCCTGCTTTTGCTGTACAGAAATGTTTTAGTTAGATAGTCCCAGTTGTTTATATTCTTCTTTGTTGTATTTGATCCAAGGAACAATCTGCGAAAAAAAATTTTTTTAAAGATTTATTTATTTATACAAGCACTGGGTATAGTCAGAAGCACGGGAGGGTGAGAGAATTCACCAGAGCGGGGAACAGAATAGGCAGGCTGATGAAGAAATACACTGCTGAGGGGAGCAGTGGGCACGGCAGGAGAGGTCTGTCACGCCATGTGGGACCCTCGCCAGCGGTCAGGGATCGAACCAGCGCTGCAGAGGCTGTGGGCAGCTTTACAGCCCAGTGCTCAGCCTCTGCGCCACCAGGAGAGGCCCTGCGAAGACATTTTTAAAGTTATCCTGTGGAGTATTTTGCTTATTTTTTTTTTTTTTTGGTGTATTTTATAGTTTCAGGTCTTACATCCAATTTTTTTTAATCCATTTTGTGTATGGTATGAAATAATGCTCTACTTTCATTCTTTTGCATATGACAGTCCAGTTTTCTCAATACCGCTCATTGAAGAGGCTTTCCTTGTTGTAGATCAGTTGTCCATAAATGTGGTGTGGCTTTATTTCTGAACTCTCAATTCTATTCGATTGGTCTCTGTTTTTGTTCCAATAACATGCTGTTTTAATTGCTATGACTTTATAGTGTGGTTTCAAGTCTGGAAGTGTAATACCACCATTTCCCCCCTTTTTTAGTTAGGAGAGCTTTGGCTAATAGGGATCACAAAATGTCTGTGCAAATTTCAGTAATATTTTTCTATTTCTTTGAAGAATGCCATTGAGATTTTTATTGGAATTGCACTGAATCTGTAAATTGCTTTGGGTTAGATGGCCGTTTTGACAATGTTTGGTCTTCCAGTTCATGAGCAGGGAGTATCTTGCTATTTCTTTGCATCTTATATTTCTTTTAACCATGTCTTATATTGGGTTATGTCAGTAAAGTCTGTATTTTTTCTATGTTTTTTAATGTAAAAATGCATCATGACTTTTCTGATAACTCAGTAGTTTTCTTTGTATAGGTCCTTCATCTCCTTTGTTATGTTTATTCCTAGCTATTAAATGTTTTTAGTGTGATTGCAAATGGGGTGACATTCTTAATTTCTTCCTCTTCTAACTTACAGTTTGCATATAGGAAGGCAATTGATTTTTGTTTACTTTGTATCCTGTCACTTTGCTGACCTGTTTTATTGTTTTAATGACTTTCTGTCAAGCCTTTAGGGTTCTTTATGTATATTATCATATCGTCTACAAATAGTAGTTTTCTTTCCCATTTTGGATTTCTTTTATAGCTTTCTTTTGCCTAATTGCTCTACCTTGGACTCCTAATACTGTGTTGAATAGTAGTGGTGAGATCGGACATCCTAACCTTGTACTGGATCTTAGTGGGAAGACTTTTAGTTTTAGCCAATGAGAATAATACCAGCCCAAAAAACACAGAAAATTCTGACTGATGAAAGTAATAGGAAGTTCAGAGGAACCTACATCTGTATTTCCTTTAGGGCCAGAGGTCCAGTTTCTACTAATTCAGAGTTTAAGGTACATTTCGAGAACATAGCAACCACAATGAGAATCTACTGTGCTTGCTCTCAGTCATTCCAAATCTCTTGATATCTCTTCTGGTAATTATTTCTTGTTTTTTTTTTTAAAAGCAGTTTAACTTGTGTGATTAAGATACTATTCAAAATGTACAATTTGGTAAGTTTTGGCATATTTATATATCTATGAAATCTTTGTCATGATCAAAATAATGAGGTATCCACCCAAAAGTTTCCTCACGCCTCTTTGCTGGCCTTCTGTCTTACCTTCTCACAATCTGGTTTGTCTCACTGTAGTCTGCATTTTCTGGGGTGTTTTATGCAGCAAGATGATTATTATTGTCTCACTTCTTTCCTGGCAATATTAATTTTGGGATGCATATGTGCTCAAGTTAGTAGCCAGTGTACTCCTTTTTATGACTGAAAAGGATTCTTTTGTATGGATAGTCACAGTGGGCCTACCCATCTCCCAGTGGGATATATGGGTTATTTCCCAGTCTTTGCTATTTCCTCATGGCCGCTGTAGATTGCTTTCTTTATTGCATCTGTACTTGTTTTCAGACTTGTGGGAATGTGGCATCTTTTCTTCTCTCCTTCCTGGATTCCATCCTCTCACTGAGGTCTTAGGCATCTGGCTTGGGGCATGGGTGTGGATCTACCATTCATCTCTCTTCTGATTAGAAGAGAACCGGGTTTAGGATTGGCAGTAAGGCAGTGTCCAAGGCAAGTAGAGGCAGCAGGTGAGACATGGTGACAAACAGTCTAGTCAGGACTGTGTACCTGTGATTTAGCACTTAGGTAATTCTTGGTGAGTATGAGCTGTCATGTTAGGGGCCAAATTGTTGTAGATATCCTGAGTCTGTCCTTATATTACTGATGTTTTAAGGGGTAAAGAGAACCCCCTTAAAACAGCAGACTAGCCTTTCTTTTCAGGTAGTCCAGATTGTGGTTAGGAGGGAGCCATTTTCAGGTCAGCAGGGAATTATCTTGGGACCCTGGAGATGTGTGCTGGCTGAATCTGGTGCCTGGAGGGTGATTTGTCATCCATGTGTCTGCTGTCTTTACCCTGCTGGTAGAGTGGCTAGCACCATTGGATTGGGACTTAGGTGACTTTGTGATGTTAAAATATATGTCTTGTGGCATTGACAGTGGCCATAGCTTGACTTCACAGATGTTCAGGAATAGGTATGGGAAAACTCATCCTATTGATTTAATGAAATAATAATTAGTTGCATATTTCTTTTTGCTGTGGGCTAGTTAGGATTACAGAAAGCATACTCTAGCGATGTCTTGCCCTAGTAATGACTTGCTGGCTAACATGTTTGTAACAGTAGAAGTATCTATTAAATTGGATTGTCCTGAGATGGAGGCTTTAAAGAAGGATGAGAGTGGAAATCTTCATGTGTGCACCTGTCGGGAGAAGACAACAGAAGATACAGTGGGGAACTTTCCTTTTCTTTCTTTCTTTTTTTTTTTTTTTTTAATCTTTGATCTTTATCCAATGTTGGTGGCTCATTCAACTTTTTCTTTCTTTTTTTTTTTCCTCTTAAAGATTTATTTATTCATGCATACAAGAACCGGGGTACAGGGCAGATGTGCGGGATGGTGAGAGGATTTGCCAGAGATGAGTGGGAAACAACAGGCAGACTGATTGAAATACACTGCTGAGGGGAGCAGCGGGTGAGACAGGGGCGGTCTGCCGTGCCATGTGTGTATCACGCCGGCTGGCCTGGATAGAACCCGCCCTACAGGGACTGCGGACAGCTTCACAGCTCTGCGCTCAACCCCTGCGCCATCAGGGGAAGGCCCTCATTCAACTTTTCTAATAAATTTTATATATGAATGGTAAAAGCAGCATCTGCTACGATGGTTGTTATGACCTTCTTTGAAACTTTGCTAAGGTCTTTCTGTTTTTGTATGTCCCAAGGGAATTTAGCAACTTTAGTCTCAAGGTTTGAAAGGGATTTTGTTTTACAGTGC